CCGAGTACCACCAATCGCCTAGCAAGGTGTCAAAAACTTGATGACCCCCCCCAAAAAAGGGAAAAAGCTGAGGTGGCGCAGCAGTTAGAGTGCAGTACTGCAGGCCACTTTAGCTGACTGTGTTCAGCAGGTCAGTGGTTCAGATCTCACTGGCTCAAGGTTGACTCAGCCTTCCATCCTTCCGAGGTAGATAAAATGAGGACCCAGATTGTTGGGGGCAATGTAAAATATATATATACATTGCTTACTGGTGTACACCGCTTAGAGAGTGCTTGCACTTAAAGCGGTATATAAGTCTCATAAATAAATAAATAAAGTACAGGTAGTCCTCGACTTATAACAGTTCGCTTAGTGACTGTTCGAAGTTACAATGGCACTGAAAAAAGTGCCCCCCAAGCCACAGCTGAGCAAGACACCTGCCTGCCCGCCCGGTGGTGCTCTTCCTCCTGCCCAAGGTTTTTATTGTTGTGAGCATTTCTGTTGAGGATTGGCAGTGGAGGTGGGGTGGGGGGGTGTTTGGTTTTTATTTCCTCCATCTGCTGGGTGGTTGCAGCAGGTTTTGGTCACTTCACATGACCCTGGGATGCTGGGACCATCATAAATATGAATCAGTTGCCAAGCATCTGAATGTAAATCACAAGACCCTGGAGATGCTGCAACATTCCAGCTGATTGGTGCTTCTTCAGGGCTCAGCAGAAGCACCAGGATCAGCGCCAAGCTCCAGCTGGAGCCTGGCACTGATCCTGGCCCTTCCACTGAGCCCTGACAGCCCCGCAGAAGTGCCGATCAGCTGGAAAGCAGCACTGATCCTGGTGCTTCCGCTGAGCCCTGACAGCCCTGCACTCCAGCCCTCTCTCGCTCAGGCTTGTGCAGTGCTGCCACCAGTTCAGCTCATTCCCCTCCCCCATTACCATTTTTCTAGGATGGTCGCGTATCACCTGCCAGGTGCCAATGTACCACAGGTGGTACCCGTACCACTGGTTGAAAAGCCCTGTACTAACCAACTCCTAATGCTCTGGACAGTTTGCAAAAATATGAAAAATTATCAAGCAATGAAGCAACACAGCAAAAGAACAAGAAGCAAAGATGGCCAACTGAGCAGCAATACACATCCATCCTAGGCAAAGAAAGGCCTTAGCAAAGAACCAGGTTTTCAAGGCTGCTTGAAACACCAATAAGTAGGGTAGGAGCCCCCTGGATCTTAGGGAAATCCTCATTCCAGGGAGGCCTCAATAGATGGAATTGTCTAATTGGGATGACCTAGACTAGAGCACTCTAACCTATTGGACTGAAATGGCTAAGCAGTTATTAGAGAAGACAATTGCATTTGAAAAAGAAAAACCAAGGAAGAGAAAAATCTAAATCAAAAGAAACCATGGGACAGTCATTATCCCCACAAAAGTTTCTAGGATACAGTTATATTTCATTTGAAGTAATAAAAAGCATTTTGCTGTTCCTGCATATACAGTACCTTCATTTCTATCTAAGATTTGTGCTACACATGGACTAAAATGAAATGCCTCCTAGGTAATTGCTGCCATGAACCAAAGACCAGCTATTCAATTTCTATTCCATTCCTCCACGTGAGAATCTTACATCAGTCTATTTCTTTTTGGCTGTTTCTTTAGAAGATAGATAAAAATATAAAAGTCCGGAGAAATCTCTTCATTGTATTCATAAGAAAATGTATTTGAGGATTGGGTGGACCTTCATAGACTTACAAATAATATCTAGTAGAAGTAAAAGAATATGAACACAAGTAAGAATTCTCTTATATGCTAGTATTTGCTCTAAATCCTTACAAGGCCAGTTGAAATCCCATGGGACCTTTTACACCCAGTAATGTACACACACTTATAAATGCCTGATAAAATGGGCAAGGTTGTTAGCTTGGAGTTGTCGTGTTTTACAAGTTGTCTCAATGATAACAAAAAACTTAGCAGCCCTTTGGGGGGGGGGGGCTTTCAAAGACTCCTCCTAAGTCAACAACCCATCAAAAAGACCTTTTGCTCACTAAAACAGATGTGATAACAGAAGCTGAGCTGAGCCTTGGAATGCAAACAGAGAACTGTGTAGAGACAGACCACAGAAGCAATCCTTGCAATGCATTAATGCTAACCTAACTAGCAATTGAAAGAATAAAGGAGAGTCCGTTGTCTCTTCTGTCCCCATCTTATGGTGTTGTGGTTCCAAGTGCTAGCTGTGGTTTGAAAGTAGTTGAGCACAATAACACGGTAGAAAAGTGTTTCAGTTAAGCAGTTAGAAACCACATAAAAAATATGTTGGTTCTTTGAATTAGACTCTCTCTCTGCTGAAGGCCACCTGCTATCTTTCAAGGATGAGCCAAGTCACAAGCAGTTCAAATTCCAGCAAATGATATATGAAGGCCTCAGAAGCACAGAGAAAAATAGATAAGCAGCTCCTCGTTTTCACTTATGTACATTACTTATGGAGGAGTACATGATCTTTAGCTCTGGCTCTCCTTTAGCAGCTCAGATATTATGCCCTTGGATTGCTACATTATAAAACAGGAATTGATGAATGCAAGAAATAATATTAGAAAATAAAATAAAAATAGACATGCAATCTAGTTAAAAATCAAGAGATGAACCAAGAGTTCATCACCATCGCTTCCCACCTAGCTAGTTCTATGATACTAAGAATATTCATACTTTTGAATATTCCTAGTATTCATGCACAAGTAGTAAATATGTAATTTTTTGTTAATTTTCATATACATCTTAGTGTTATCTCAGTGAAGGACCTCATAAAGTCTATAATACAAGGCTTCCCTTGGAGATAGGTTTCCTCTAGCTGTTGGAACTGTTTAAAACTGACTGCTGAACAGTGTGGGAAGTTACTTCCCACTACACCTTTCTCATGTGCTCATTTGCAAATGCAGTACCCAGTTATGCTACTAGGGTGGTAGATGAATGGAACTTTAGGCAATTTCATATGGGATATTTCTACCACTCCAAAATCAGATCCAGAGGTGTGCACCATTTTCACACCATTTAGCAGCTAAGCCAATCAATTTCTATCACAGCCAAATGAAATAGTTATCTTTCTGTAAGCAACAGTAAAACTCCACTGAACTTGTGGGCTGTCTCTCCCTCATTGCAGATATTGTCTCCTGGCTTCGTTTGACATAACATTCTAATTCTGAGTCCTTCAAAGGGAAAGATGGTTTGACAGCTTCACATTTCATAGCAGTTCCTCAGATTAGCAAATGCAAACCACAGTGCTGATCCCACTTTAAGAGAAGCCAGAACTGATCTCAAACTCTTTTGATTCATCCCAGATCCTTTATGTGTTTCTGCCCTACAGTTGCCCAAGGGACAAGTGCCGAAACTAACATGAGGTTGTCTTCTTTTCCCTTCTCCTTAGCAGGAGATTAGCTCATGCAAAAGATCAGACTGCTGTCTGGCAGCTTTTCAAGCAACTGTCTCATAAGGGAGGGCTGTTGATTTTGTGTGGAGTGGGGATGACAGGATTTTTGTTGTGCCATTTGCTCATATCCCCAACTCCCCCAGCAACCTTCAGCATACCATTCTCTCTGCTTAGAATGTATCTCCCCATTTCCTCTGCTTCAGCCACTCTAGCAACTTGCATCCATGGTTAGAGTTATTGAGGAAAGCACTGGTTTGCAAAATTGCCTTCTAGCAAAAGACTTTTGAAGTAACAGAGGAAAGAAAGCCTAGAAATGCCACAGTTATCTCTTGGAGAAAAGTAATGACTGAATGGTAGATGACGATTCTCAGCCATCTGGGTAAAATTGTCAGGAAGTTGAGTCATGGCAACTGGACTTATTTTCTTGTTGGTCTGAGATGTTTCGCTGCCCATCCAAGCAGCTTCTCAACATCTCAAACCAACAAGAAAACAAATCCAGTTGGCATGACTCAGCTTCCTGACAATTTTACCCTGATGATTGAGAATCTTCATCAACATATTGCCATGCACTTTGCAGAAGAAATCCTGAGGTTGGTGAGGAATACCGCTAAGAATTTTAGGGGTTGGTATATTCCAGCGACTCTCTTCCTACTCAGCTTCCCCTAACCAACTTGTTCAGACTGAAGAAGCTGCTTGGATGGGCAGTGAAACATCTCAAACCAACACGAAAATAAGTCCGGTTGCCATGACTCACTTCCTGATAATAATTGTACCATTTTCTTGCATGTTCCTCCTGATCAGAAGAAGAGAGAGAGGGAGAGAGAGAGAGTGCACTAACAGGCTTGTGCTGTTCTCTTCCTGCTCTCTATATTTCTGAGGTCTGTAGCACTGAAAGCAACTGCATACCTAACTTCAAAATGGTTTGGAGGATTGGGAAGCAAAAAGAGCACCAAGTAACAAGGCCCTTAGAAGGAGTTATTGAGCCTACCACCTTGTGTAATACCCAAGAGATTTACTTCCATTCCAAACTTCAGGTTCTTAAAAGGTAGAAGAACACGAAGCCCTAACATACCTACTGTAGTTTCCACATCTGTACCTGAATGGGCTTTTAAAATTCTGTTGGACATTGTCAGTGCAACAAAAGACAGATAAAGCTAGAAGAGAAGCAGAAAATACACTGAAGTTTGCATTGTAGATTCTACTTCAGTGGCAATAGCTAGTGCTCTAGTCTACTCCAACAGTAACTTAAAGACACTTAAGGCCCTTTTTCTCTTGCACTTTTCCAAGGCAAAGAAAGGGTCCTGGCAACAGGTTTTTCTGCCTTGTCCATGCATGAGACAGCATTAAATTATGCTCAGCTGAACCAATGTCAAATTGCTATATTCCTCCTTATTCCACTTGGTCCAAGGGTACTGTCACCTTCTGACCCTGGAGGAAATTCATGTGACTTAAGGGACTTAAAAGAGAGGCAACAGAAGAGATCAGTAAGGAAGACAGCTCATTTCATGCTAATAGAGTTTTCTTCCAATTCAAGGATGAACAGATAAGACTCACCAGTGGGGAAAGGAAAGCATGGGGAAGGAAAAGAAACAAGCAGAAAGAGCACTTACCAGGTTTAATCTCCAGCAACTTCAGCCTGGAGTCTTCAGGGGGATGCAAACGTCTCTTCTTGCGCCAGCACCGAGCAGGATATGTATAGAGCTGCCCTGGAGCTAGTCCTGAGGGTCAAAAAGAAACAAAAATAAGAGGGCCACAAAGCATAGACAGAAAGATAGATAGATAGATAGATAGATAGATAGATAGATAGATAGATAGATAGATAGATAGATAGATAGATAGAACCCTTTTAAAAAGAGAACAAAAATACAGGTAGTCCTTGACTTATGATCACAACTGAGCACAAAATTTTTGTTGCTAAGTGAGACATTTGTTAAGTTTTGCCCCATTTTACAAACTTTGTTGCCACAGATGTTAAGTGAATCATTGCAGTTAAGTTAGTAACACAGTTGTTAACTGACTCAGGCTTCCCTGTTGACTTTGCTTATCAGAGGGTTGGAAAGGGGATTACATAACCCCAGGACACGGCAACTGTCATAAATATGAATCAGTTGCCAAGCGTCTGAATTTTGACCACGTGACTGTGGGGATGGTGCAACAGTCAGAGGTGTGAAAAACAGTGATACGTCACTTTTTTCACTGTTGTTGTAACTTTGAATAGTCACTAAACGAACTGTTGTAAGTCAAGGACTACTTGTATTTACATCTTTATATCATGTTTTTCAATTACCATTTAAGTCATTTATTAACAAGGGGGAGGAGTACTGAGCCTATAAACTAGTGTACTGGTATATGCCCTAATTTCCCTCAGTGGTACAACTGCTTCTTCAGATAGAGAAGGAGAAATTAGTTTTTCAGACCACATGTAACTGATGGAGAATGCTTCCCGTATCTGTCTTTCTTGCCTTCAAATGGTGTGCCGTATCTTAAAAAATATAATAATAATAAAGTTGGAAGGGACCTTGGAGGTCATCTAGTCCAACCCCCTGCTCAGGCAGAAAACCCTATACCATTTCAGACAAATGGCTGTCCAGTCCCTTCTTAAAAACTTCCAGTGTTGGAGCATTCACCATTTCTGGAGGCAGGTTGTTCCACTAGTTAATTGTTCTAACTGTCAGGAAGTTTCTCCTTAGTTCTAGGTTGCTTCTCTCCTTGATCAGTTTCCACCTGTTGCTTCTCATCCTGCCTTCAGGCGCTTTGGAGAATAGCTTGACTCTCTCTTCTTTGTGGCAGCCCCTAAGATATTGGAACACTGCTATCATGTCCCCCCTTGTCCTTCTCTTCGTTAAACTAGACATACCCAATTCCAGCAACCGTTCCTTATACGTTTTAGCTTCCAGTCCCCTAATCATCTTTGTTGCTCTTCTCTGTACTCTTTCTAGAGTCTCACCATCTTCTTTACATCGTGGTGACCAAAACTGGATGCAGTATTCCAAGTGTGGCCTTACCAAGGCATTGTAAAGTGGTATTAATACTTCACGTGATCTTGATTCTATCTCTCTGTTAATGCAGCCTAGCACTGTGTTGGCTTTTTTGGCAGCTGCAGCACACTGCTGGCTCATATCTAAGTGATTGTCCACTAGGACTCTGAGAGTACAGAGAAGAGCAACAAAGATGATTAGGGGACTGGAGGCTAAAGCGTATAAGGAAAGGCTGCTGGAATTGGGTATGTCTAGTTTAATGAAGAGAAGGACGAGGGGGGCCATGATAGCAGTATTCCAATATCTCAGGGGCTGCCACAAAGAAGAGGGAGTCAAGCTATTTTACAAGGCGCCTGAAGGCAGGACAAGAAGCAACGGATGGAAACTAATCAAGGAGAGAAGCAACCTAGAACTAAGGAGAAACTTCCTGACAGTTAGAACAATTAACCATTGGAACAACCTGTCTCCAGAAGTGATGAATGCTCCAACACTGGAAGTTTTTAAGAAGAGACTGGACAGCCATTTGTCCAAAATGGTATAGGTTCTCCTGCCTGAGCAGGGGGTTGGACTAGATGACCTTCATGGTCCCTTCCAACTTATTATTATTATTATTATTATTATTATTATTATTATTATTATTATTATTATTATTATTATTATCCCTCTCACAATTGCTACTATTGAGCAAGGTACCACCTATACTATACCTGTACAGTACCTATTTTCATTGTCCTCCTATTAGTTTCAAAATGACTCATACAGAATTCAAAAATTAAAATTCAAAAATGACTTTCTTCAAAACAATTCTGCATCAGTTGGGGTCATAGCTGCATATACGGTATGTTCAGGATATGTACAAGGTTATAATGATCACATTAGACCAATGATGGACTTGCAGCACAAATTCCTACACATTATCCTACATAGTGTAATGCTATGCATTGAGAGCTCAATCCATCTCTCTCACTTGATGAATATCAACATGTGACCTGCTAGCACTGCTTTTCCGGGATGAGGAGATAAGGTCAATGGCTCAGTAATGGGCTCTGAAACTTAAAAAAGAGCTCAGGTTTATACTCTTCTGAAAATAAGCTTCATGTTTGATTTTTTTTCCCTTTGGAAAATCACAGTATAATAACATGGCTCACATTAAAGAAGAGATATGAACAGGTGACCCAAAAAAATTCAATCTGGAATTTTTGATTTTTCTGCCTGATAACCCCTGAACAAGTGTCTAGCGGGGTGTTGACAATGAATCAGTTAATTGGGTTACAGACTTTAGGATGCAAAAAACAATTTTCTTTTGTACTGTATACAAAGAATAAAAAAGTTATCCGCAAATAAGTATTTGGAAGGCAAATGTAGGCTAACAAATATTATTTAAAGATTGGGAAGGGAAAACTGGGAAGAAGTAGTCCTTTTTGTAGGGATTTCTATTTACCAGAACATCAAAGAATAAACCACTATAACTGAAACCCCATGGGAACAATCATTTTGCATAGTGCTTCTTTAGTGCAAGAAATAAATAGTAATAAAATTGATAATGAACTCTACTCACACACCTTTTATTATACTTCTTTAATTCTCACACTGATGCTCTTAAATATCTAAAATATGAGGCCAGAGGCAGGGAGTCTCAAAAGTGCTTCACTGCTATGTTTCTATTTTTATATTCCAATTTATAAAGTCCTTTAACTCCTTTACTTAAGAAGCTGACCTATTTGGCTTATATAAATAACATATCCTTGCTAGCAGGTAAAACGATCATTTATCTTGCTAGAAATTAAATAGAATAGCATCTACTTAAAAACAGCAACAAAAATAGGATTACTTTGACCAATTAAAGCATTTTAAAGTGTAAAGGACACTGCCTTCTTTCATGAAAAATAAAACACTGTATATCTCACCAGGGAGACAGTTCCATGGATGAGGGAAGCCATAACCAAAAAGATCTCTCATAGCACTCAGGAGGAAACCTTAATATACTCTGTACTAAATGGGAAGGCAGATTTGGAAGCAGATATTATATTGGGCACCTAAGCCACAAATCTTGTAGGAACCCATAAACAGCAATAGCACTTAGATTTATATACTGTCCCATAGTGGTTTACAGCACTCTCTGGGCAGTTTACAATGTCAGCATATTGCCCGCAACAACCTGGGTTCCCATTTTATCAACCTCAGAAGGATAAAAGACTGAGTCAACCTTGAGCCATTCAGGATTAAACTCCAGACTGTAGGCAGAGTTAGCCTGCAATACTGCATTCTAACCACTGTGCCACCACGGCTATTAATACATAAATATAGAGCATTGAACTTTAGTTGATCTTGGGGCTGTCCAAAACTCAATTAAACATTTTCAGCTTCAGCATGAGGTTTTCCCAGAATTGATCTTACTTATGTCTAACTATAATCTTAAACCAAGAACAGTCCCATATGCAAGAGAATGTACATCTTGGGCTTCAAGTAATCCAGCTGCATCTAGGAAAACTCCTAAACTGTGAACTGAGTTGGTTCTTTAGAAAGGAGGCAACTCTGTGCAAAAGAAGCTGATCATCACTTTCTAGAACAACTAAATACTAATCTGCAAAACTGCTCCTATCAGCACCGAGAATCACTTTATTTTAATTTTAAACTTTACAAATGAACTAGTTAAATCTGGTAATGGTCCCACTAAGTATCTTGTTCAAGGTAAGGAACTATATGTAAGCAATGATGATATTGCTAGAAATATACATACATATCTCCATCATGAAATTCCCTTTGAGGGCAAGCAATTGATGTAAGTGAAGAAAAAAAACCTAGCAATTGGTAAGCAAAAAAAAAAAAAAAACAACTAAAAGACATGAGATAACAAAAAAGACATTGTAACCTTTTTTCCAGAAAATCACTCCCCATTTACAGTACTTGCCTCCTTTAATCTTAAATATTCCTTGTTCTTTGATTACATTCTTTGTAATTTTTGTAACTATCTTTTACAACACTTTGTCTCATCATTTTTCTATCAATCATTCCCTCGCACTCACTTTTTTCCTCACCTACAACCTTTTTTCATTGTGTCATCCCACCAAGCTTTTTTTTTTCCAGAACTTTCCACATGAATAACTCAAAATTCACACACTTCAGGGCACTCTAGAACATAATTATTTTCACCCTGTTCCAGTGAATTTCCACATCCTATTTTTTATGTCATCTTACAATTCATTCTGTTGGTATATTCATCTATTTGTTTTTCTTTATTTATTTGATCAAATTTGTTGATATTATTTGTTGTTTTTAAGTCATTTGATTTGTCCAACAACATGGCTCACAACTCTCTAAATCCCTCTCATGGGTCATAAAAATGAACCTCTGCCAGTCAATATACATCAAACCGGAAGTAAACTATTCCCACATCCCCATAGTCTGTCCCCTTTCTGGCTAGAAGCTAAAGGAAGCACTCAAGGTTTTGCCAGTAGACCAGAAGCTAGATGCACCACCCACTCCTCTGGGGGTATGGATATGCTGCTGTCTTTCCTCTCAAACGTTACAAAGGAATCTTCATTGTTTTCTCCTTCTTTGTCAGCTAAGGTTACCTGAATCCCTTGATTAACTCTAAGGAGATATACAAATAGGGATAAGCACATACACATTGAATTCAAAAAAAGCATGATTTCCAGGCAGCAAAATAGTTAATCACTATTTTAGAATAATTAGGTGACTTACTGCTTTTACTGCATTTTTTACAGAAGTTAAGTCAG